CTTTTTTTTTTTTTTTTTTTCCATAGGCAATATTGTAATGCCTCCATCCAAATGAATGTGAGCCTACAAGTGGAATGGGACCATGAGCGTCTTCCTTCATTTTTTATATTAACCAAATCCACCTAATTACCTGAATAAATAATATGATATATTCTTGCTAGCCACTTTAAATAATTCTTCAATTCATACTTCATATGCATAATTTATTATAATAAAAGGCTCTTAAGAATAATTCAAACCTTCAACTCTTGAGCAATTTGTGATAATTAGTAGAGCCACTCAAACATGAAGATGGTATAAATAATATTAAGTGTGAATATTCATAGATTATGAAATTACTTGGGAGGAAATTATGAACAAGTGGCATGGCCTTCAACAAGTGGCAGGTTCTTTCAACAAGTGTCAAGACTTGCAACAAGTGACAAAACTTTTTTCAATAAATATCAAGACTTTCAACAAGTGTCAAAACTTTGGACTGGTGGCCAAATCCTTTCATGCAAAAATGTCTATAAATAGGCCCAAAAACATGAAGAATGTATTTATAAAATGAAGAAATGTTTATTAATTATCTCCCTCAAAATTTCTCTTGTTTTACTTTATTTTCTATTATTCCATAATACAGTATCACGAGTCTCTAATTTCTACGTGCATGATTGACTTGCGAAAAGTTGACCGCCTAGAATCAGCTATGTTGAGCCAATAAAAGCCCGAGCATTTAAGATACGATGATAATCAGTTTGCTATTGTCCATGGAGTTTTCATTTTTAATCTTACTATGAATTCTAATTTTAACTTATTTGAAATTTTAGATTTGGTATTACTTATATTAAGTACATGACAATATAATTGTATTTGTCTAGAAAAAGAACTGATTGAATCAAGAACGACCATAAGTAAGGTTTAGAAGTTGAACTTGCTTACCTTGGACTGGGGATCAGATCATATCTTTCAAAAGGCTACATTAAGTTCTTCTTCTTCAAGTTAAGTTTCAATTTCTTCTATACGCAAGTAAATATGGATACCTCACAAAAAAAACTTAGATCAAAATTTAATTATAGAAATATTTGTTTAATTGATTCATATACGGTACACACAATAGTCAAAGAGAAGAAATATTTCTCTCATTTAAGTATGTGTAAGGCAGATGTTACTATAATTTCTGGTTGTAGTAATCTAATTGAAGGCTCTGGAAGAGCTACTGTAACTCTGCCTAAGGAAATAGTACTTATCATAGATAATGAAATGTTCTCCTCCAAGTCCAAGAGGAACTTGTTGAGTTTTAAAGATATCCGCCAAAATAGATATCATATTGAGACGATAGATGAGAATAATCTTGAATATTTTATCGTTACCAAGAATGTCTCTGGCCAGAAAAGGGTTATTGAGAAGTCCCATTTTTATCTTGTGGCCTGTATTGGACAAGAATTAGTGCAATTGAGGCACATTTTATCGCAAATCAAAATGTTATTGATCCCAATACTTTTGTACTTTGGCATGGTCGATTGGTACATCCTGGATCAATTATGATGAGACGAATTATAGAGAACTCAAATGGGCATCCATTGAAGAATTTAAAGCTTCTTTTAAATAATGAATTTTCTTGCACTTCTTGTTATCAAGGCAAGTTAATCATTAGACTGTCACCAACAAAGGTTGGGATTGAGTTCTCTACATTTTTGAAACTTATACAAGGTGACATTTGTGGACCTATTCACCCATCTAGTGGGTCATTTAGATATTTTGTGATCTTAATAGATGCATCTTCTAGATGGTCTCAGGTTTGCCTATTGTCATCTCGCAACCTGGAATTTGCAGAATTAATGGCACAAATGTCACGACCCAAATTCCATATTAGGCCTTAATGGCGCCAAACACCGTTGTTAGGAAAGCCAACACTAACCAACTAGTGGATCCTCTTTTAAATAACTAGTACGTGAAAACCTTTCCTTGTTAATAAAGAAACTAGGAGTTTGAAACTTATGCATAATTAGATGGGAGTAATAAATACGAACTTAAATCATGATAGCAAACCAAAATCATAAGTCTACCAATGTGTGTGCCAAGACCTGGAGTCACAACTATGTGGTCAATCTAGTAGAATATACAAAATCATGCTATCTTACTGTCTAGAAAGGAAATAGACAGGAAAAATAAAGACATAGAGAGACTCCAGCTGCTGTAGAACGGCTCAAAAGGGGCAGCTAACCGGAAAGTCTCAAGCTGAGGAGTCCAATCTATGCGCTGGATTGATGGCCAGATACACCTGCCTCAAAACCTGTATAATCAAGTACACAAGTGTAGCGTGAGTACATAAAAATATGTACCTAGTAAGTATCTCACCTAACCTCGCAGAAGTAGTGACAAGGGGTCAATTTTGACACTTACTAGGGCCAACAATATAATAATGTGAAGTTCCACTTCTTA